TTTTTGTGTTTGTGTGTGTGTGGGTGTGTGTGTGTGTGTGTGTGTGTGTGTGTGTGTGTGTGTGTGAGAGTCTGTGAGTGTGTGTGTGTGTGTGTGTGTGTGTGTGTGTGTGTGTGTGTGTGTGTGTAGTAGTAAGGCTGTCCTCGACTAAGGATTTTTCTGGTAGACTAGTAGTCGTTCATTTGAAGCATTAGGCGACTAATCGCACGTTTATTAACAAGCCATTTAAATCATTATAATGGCCTATCATTATAAAAACATTATTAGGCCTACAAAGCCTAATAAGCACTCAAGGGCACGCATAAAGCTTTCCACAGTGCACCAACAGAAGAAATTATTATGAATGTGTCATGGAAAAACAGTAAGGAGACTGCATTAACATTTTAATATTTTGATAAACTAGTGCTTTCTTTGTTCTCGGTTTAAGAGATGAAGTCGGCGACACTGACACTGACTCGTCATCTCCGCAGTAGTGGAAGATCCTGTATGCGTTTCACACGGATTACATAATCTGAGAATATTTGTCTTCCATTTGAATTGTTTCATTTGAAAGTAGACATTTCACTCTCTATAGATATATATTTTGAATGTCTGTAAGGTAAAGATATAGGCTACACAGAGTTTCGCGCTCAAGTTCACAGAGACCGAGACGGCAGAAAGCGCATCATGTTTGCTTTCATTATTTTACAAAAGCGCAGTATTGTGCTCACACAAATACACACACAAATAAACGTAGAATCTTTACCGATTCGAAAGATGTATTACATTTATCTGTTTTTTAAGAGCAAGTGAGCGCAGCTGCGCCTCCATCTGTCCTGCAGTGAGCTACTGCTCAGCTCCACACTCCTCACAGACACAAGAGCGCACGTTTCTCTAGGTTAACATTAGATTGAGCTGCCATGTAAAGTTGCTATTACTTACATATTTCAGATGATAAGCCATATTTAAGGTTGATGAATGATAGACGAGCGTTTGGACGTCCTGCCTGATGTACTGTATTTCTGTAGACCAGCCGTTAACGATCTGTTAGTCACTGACTGCGTGACTTCGTCTGTGGATTTATTTTTTCTGAAACTAAGCGACTAATAAAATTTTGGTCGACCAAGCATCTTCTGGTCATCTAACGATTAGTTGACTATTAAGGGGCAGCCCTACAGTGTGTGTGTGTGTGTGTGTGTGTGTGTACGTGTTTTTGTGACAAATGAGGACATAAATGTGTATAATGACAAAGGTATGACAGGTATTACAAGGAGAAGGTGACTTTTCAGGACATTACCCCATGTCCCCACTTTTCAAAACGCTTATAAATCACACAGAATGGAGTGTATTGAAAATCTGCATTGAAAAAATAGCACAAAGTCTCCTGTGAGGGGTAGGTTTAGGGGTAGGGTTGGTGTAGGGCAATAGAATATACGGTCTGTACAGTATAAAAACCATTACGCCTATGGAGAGTCCCCACTTTTCACAAAAACAAACCTGTGTGTGTGTGTGTGTGTGTGTTAGAGTGAGTGAGTTACCTGTGAGCGCCAGCAGCAGCACACACACACAGATGAGGACACACACACATGGCAGCAGGATGAAGAGCAGCAGTCGCAGATGTTTTCCGCAGCGCTGCGTGTGTGTGAACGCTTCACCCATGATGAGCTCATCTGACACACACACACACACACACACACACACACACACACAGACACACACACACACACACACACACACACACACACACAGACACACACACACACACACACACACACACACACTGGTGTAAATGTTGATTGAGAGTGATTGTAGGCATGTATTGTCATATGTGTGAGCTTCGGGAAACTCTTCACCTTTGCCTGTTTGTCTTTGGATGTTTTTTTTCTGCCAGGATCAAGGAAAAGAGAGAAACCTACATCTATGACCACCCAAACACGGAAGTAACCAGGACACACCCGGAGTCATAAACTGTGGCAAAGGGCCAAAACTTTGGATCATACGCAGATAGAGAAACAATACCTGAAGCACAATTCCTGGTAAATGAGCAATAGTACAAAAGGAAGGCGTAATAAACATAATAGTGGAAGAAAGAATGATGGGGATATGTGTAATAAAGTTTACTCCCCATCTGACATGGTTTACTATAGTAAAACAAACTGTCTTTACGGTAATCAAGGCTTTTAAGTGACCTAAATACTTTTACACACAATTACACTAGCCATAAAAACCTTCTCATAATATAATAGAACTAATATTGATTTATTTTATATAATTTAAAAAACATTTGACATATTATTCATAGAGTTATACTAGTTAAGTCACACATACCCCTGAATAGTGAGTTATACTAGTTAAGACGTATGTGTCCCTGCAGCACAGAAGCAGTGTTGAGTCGCTGGGGGATATTTGTAGCAATAGCCAACAATACATTGTATGGGTCACAATTATACATTTCTCTTTTATGCCAAAAATCATTAGGATATTAAGTAAAGATCATGTTCCATGAAGATATTTTGTAAATGTCCTACCGTAAATATATCAAAACTTAATGTTTGATTAGTAATATGCATTGCTAAGAACTTCATTTGAACAACTTTAAAGATGATTTTCTCAATATTTAGATTTTTTTGCACCCTCAGATTCCAGATTTTCTAATATTGTGCTATCCTAACAAACCATACATCAATGTTAAGCTCATTTATTCAGCTTTCAGATGATGCATACATCTCAATTTCCAAAAATGGACCCTCGTGGCAGGTTCAGTGCTCCAGGCTCGTGTTTACATCTGAACATGTGCGTGAACGCGCCTGACATCCAGCTGTCAGTCAGAGCTGCGCGCGCGCGGAGGGGCGGGAGCGAGCGTAACGGACGCGCACCAGTGGGTCGCGCGCGGCTCCGAGCAGGAAGTTTTCTGGATGAATCCGGATCAGACGCGCGTCTCACCTGCTTCCCGCGGTAGAAGAGCCGCTGCTGCTCCGGCTTCACCTGGAAGATGTCGCGGATCTTCACGCGCAGACACTCGATCTTCGTGAGGCGCGACAGATCCTCCACCGTCCGCGTCTCTTTGCCGTCGATCGTCCGGATCTGGATCCACATCGTCGCTCCGCGCCAGCCGACCGACGAGCGTCAAACACGAGCGAGCGAGCGACGCGCTCCTCTGCGGGGGAAACGCGCGTCACGCCAAGTCTCGCGAGGAGTGGGGAAATCTCGCGAAATGTAAACACGCGGGGGGAACGGGGCTTTTAAAGAGACAGAGACGCTTAAAAAACATTCCAAAGAGAATTTAGAGAAAAACTGTACAAGTAAGATTAATATGAGTGACTAAGAAAATTAACGAGATCAAAATTAATAATTAGGAAAAAACTGATTTAAATAAATGCATGCATTTGAATAATTTAATTTATTTATTATTTAGTCATTTATCAGACGCTTTTATGCATTAAAACTCAAAACTTTATAAATACTGCCTATACACATTTTAAAAATAAATTAAATAAAAATGACAAATGCATACAACAAAATTTCAAAATTTAAATTTAAATGAAAAACTAAAAATAAAGCTACAAATATACATGTGTGCGCGTGTACAACCATAAACACATGCGTATATACTGTATACACACATTTATAAATTCAATATATATATTATTTCATGCCCATTTAGTTTGTTCAAGTATTAAAATAACTTCAGACATAATTTAACTCAAATTTAAATACACACACATGCTAAAATAACAACAACTTACTGACGCGTAGTAAGAAATGGTTAATAGTAAGAAATAGGAAAGAGGAGACAAAGCGGGGGAAACGCGCGTCACGCCAAGTCTCGCGAGGAGTGGGGAAATCTCGCGAAATGTAAACACGCGGGGGGAACGGGGCTTTTAAAGAGACAGAGACGCTTAAAAAACATTCCAAAGAGAATTTAGAGAAAAACTGTACAAGTAAGATTAATATGAGTGACTAAGAAAATTAACGAGATCAAAATTAATAATTAGGAAAAAACTGATTTAAATAAATGCATGCATTTGAATAATTTAATTTATTTATTATTTAGTCATTTATCAGACGCTTTTATGCATTAAAACTCAAAACTTTATAAATACTGCCTATACACATTTTAAAAATGACAAATGCATACAACAAAATTTCAAAATTTAAATGAAAAACTAAAAATAAAGCTACAAATATACACGTGTGCGCGTGTACAACCATAAACACATGCGTATATACTGTATACACACATTTATAAATTCAATATATATATTATTTCATGCCCATTTAGTTTGTTCAAGTATTAAAATAACTTCAGACATAATTTAACTCAAATTTAAATACACACACATGCTAAAATAACAACAACTTACTGACGCGTAGTAAGAAATGGTTAATAGTAAGAAATAGGAAAGAGGAGACAAAAAGCGATACTTATCTAATAGTAATAATTAGCAATTGGATTAAAATAAATGAATTATATTATATATGAATCATAGAATGACTAAATAGCTCACATAAAACGATGGAAAATCTCGCGAAATGTAAATGCGCCGGGGATTTAAAGAGACAGAGACGCTTTAAAAACACTCGAGAAGTTTAGAGAAAACTACAAATAAGATTCATATGAGGGAATAAGAAAATTAATAAATACTATAAAAAAAATAACAGATTTACATAATAGCAATTCGATTAAAATTAATTATATTATAACATTTTATGATCACATAGATTAAATTAAATACAATAAAATAAAAACATGATGGAAAATCTCGTGGAATATTAATAGATGCTGAAAACGGTGCTTTTATAATTTAAAATAATTTATTAATTTGATATTAACTAGATTGTAATGCGTGTCAACCTTTCCGAGTTGTCTGTAAATGCTTAACTATTTTAAACCTTAAACTATTTCAAACAGCAGTTCTTCTCGATTTTATCATTATTCTTTAATTATTAATTATATTTATCATTAAAATAATTATATAAATGTATTAAAATACTATATTACTTAATGATTAATAATAATGAACAATTAACTATTATCTTATTAATTTATAATGACTTATTTTCCGTAATTATCGTTCATGTCGTTTTTTGAGCTCGTATTAATAGAGAGATTATGATACGTTTGTCTTTCAGTGAATAAAAAGCAATATTCATAACCCGCATTGATCTCAGAATCGCCAGGAAGGGTTTTGTTTTGGTGTTCATCATAATTATTTCATGCATATGTGGAGGAAATTCTCTTTTGGATAAACGCTGATGGTTGCGGTCCTCTGCTGGAGATATTAACCATTTATGAATTTGCATAAAATGTGTTTTATACGTTACAGTACGTTTGGACTTATCTGAGGTTTTGTGAGTTTCTGCGTAAAAGCAGATTCTTTATTATATTAATAAATGTGACGAATAATATTTAGTACTGAAATAAAATGGTAAAGGGGTCGTGACATGGATATGTTCCTTGAGATTTACTTGTAATGTTAATAAAAGTTTTTTGCACAAAAACAAGCAAATATGTGGGAAAAATACGACGCGGGTGGGCGGGGCCTAAGTCGACGGCTTGCTCTGGAGGCGTGTTTATGCAAATGTTTGTGCTCGGGTGACGTCACCTTGCCCCTCGGATCCAAACGAGCCGTTTTTGGAGCTCGATTAAATAAACGCTTCGTTTATAACGCGGACGGACGGCGGTGTTTTAAGCTATGAAACTTGCGGGATGTTTTAATGGTACAAAGACCTCTTATATTCCAAGGAAAGTTTGATTTCTCATGTCGTGACCCCTTTAATAATTAAATTAAAAAGTGTGCAATTACTTGGCATCTGTAATAAACGCATTAAGCAGCAAATAAATTAGATTACAATAAATACAGAATTAGAACAATTCAATTTAGATTAAATATCTTGCATTATTGACAAACTATTTTCCTGTTTTAGCTGCCGAGACGCGATCTGTGCTGTATAAAGTGCTGTATAAATAAAGAAAAACAAGACATTAAAGAGAATGAATAAACAAACTCAATTGCGTACGTGTGCAAATATATGTGACATGATAGAAAACGAAACCTTTCAAAGTAAATCTCATGTGGATGATAAAAAGGACACAACCCACGTCTGTCTTTAAATACTGTTTTTATTATCACAGAAGCTGTATATGTACCACTACAGATGAAGAACGAGGCTCCAAACGATGTGAAAAACTAACGATGGAGAGGAACGCGAGTAACAGCACAGCGACACGCAACGAGAGCCTAAACATGCTTCCGATATACAAAATCAAGACACGACAGCCGGAGGTAAAAGAGCTTTGGATGCGTCGCTTTAGTGTCCCATCGAGGCTTGTACCGGTCGAGTCGCATCCATCAATCGAGCACATGTTACCCGTTCATCCCCATTCAAAACAGGTCTAAAAAACAACAACAAAGCAGCACATTCCGAGGTAAGAACTGACCGTAAATGCTGAACAGAAGAGCAAAACCTGTGGCGAACACCTGCAAACACACCCAGGTTAAAAAAATTTATAAATACACTTCCATAATGTACTATGGCACACTCATTTTACGTCAGTGCCGCACACGCCTGACAGGAGGTCTGAGCAGAGTCTGACGTACCACGATCGTCCCGGTTCTTATAGAAGCAGACGAACACACTGACGACTTTCAGATGTTCTTCAGCAAACTCCAGCAGAGAGACGAAGCTGCAACAGTCAGACACCGACGCTCACAGATTAATACAGTAATCAAGAGCACTGAACTCCATCTGGCTGTTAGACGCCATGGGAGGAACCTAACATTCAGAAGGACAATTTTTACTATTTTATTAAGGCACATCTCTAGTTATTATTGTACTGTATATGTAATTGTGTATTTTAATCTAATTTGCATTATATATACACTTAAGTCAAGTCACCTTTATTTATATAGTGCTTTTAACAATACAGATTGTGTCAAAGCAACTGAACAGCATTAATTAGGAAAATAGTGTCAATAATGCAAAATGACAATAGTAAACACTCATTTTTTCTAATTATGTATTGCCAAAATTTTTATTTATTAATTTCAATCCCATTTTGTACATTTATTTTCATCTCATTTTATTTATATCATATTTGTAATGTTTTAATCAATATTTTATTTCAGTATCTCATTTTTATTTTATTGCACTGTTTATTTAATCTATTTCTTATTTATTTGAAAGTCATTTATTAATAGAGATATCGCTCTATTATTATACATTTAAATTCTCATGTTCACCACTAAATATTAAATATTTTACCTAACATTTTATTGATACCGTTTTTGTATTTAAATCTTATATTTAAATTAATAATCTTTTTTTTTTATTATTAATTCAGCCTAATTTGTATTAAATTATAAAAATTTGATAAAATATTTATTTAAATCTCATTTTTTTACCATTTATATAATGCAAGTAATACTTTATTTTTATTATATGTATTATTTGACTATTTTTTGGAATATTTTTTATTATTTTTATCATTTATTTTAATCTTTTATGTATTATCACTTTTCTTTTTTCCTCTAAACATTTCCACGGACCCCCAGCGCTCCCAGACCCCTGCGTCAGTTATTGTGTGTGGTTGCCGGGGTGTTGCTATGGTGTCGTGGGTGGTTGCCGGGGTGTTGCTATGGTGTCATGGGTGGTTGCCGGGGTGTTTGCTATGGTGTCGTGGGTGGTTGCCGGGGTGTTGCTATGGTGTCGTGTATGGTTGCTAGGCGCTCACCTCTCTTTGCTGCCCTCTGGAAACGATTCGCAGGGAATCTCCACGAACAGGCCGGGGCCCCGAAGCACCGCCTCCCATTTGATCGCCCGGGAAACGGTGGGCCGGCTCTGAAAGTGCAGTATCCGGGGGCGACCGGCCCCAGCGGGCTCTTCGGTCACAGTCAACTTCCTGTCCTGTGCAGCCAATCAGAAGACGAGCTGGTCATCACTTCATCGGTGCATGCTTGTGTTCTGTGCTTCTAGAACTCCTGTAGTTTGTGTGTTTGCCTGAATGAATGATGCGTTTCATTTCTGCCGTCCTCGGTTTAGAGTAATCATTTACTTCTATTTATTAATGGCTTTTGTTTACATAATATATGTGCGTGTACTGTGTATATTTATTATGTATATATAAATAAATAAACACATACAGGATATATTTTGAAAATATTTACATGTATATAGATTTATATTCTATATAAGTATTTAATATAAACAATTTTTCTGAAATATATACATGCATGTGTATGTATTTATATACATAAAAATACACAGTA